CTCTCGGCCTGTGTCCCACCTCTCGGCCTGTGCGCCCCGTCTCTCGGCCTGTGTCCCACCTCTCGGCCTGTGTGCCCCGTCTCTCGGCCTGTGCCCCGTCTCTCGGCCTGTGTCCTACCTCTCGGCCTGTGCCCCGTCTCTCGGCCTGTGTGTCCCACCTCTCGGCCTGTGTGTCCCACCTCTCGGCCTGTGTCCCACCTCTCGGCCTGTGTCCCACCTCTCGGCCTGTGCCCCACCTCTCGGCCTGTGTCCCACCTCTCGGCCTGTGCGCCCCGTCTCTCGGCCTGTGTCCCACCTCTCGGCCTGTGTGCCCCGTCTCTCGGCCTGTGCCCCGTCTCTCGGCCCGTGTGCCCCCTTTAGCTGAGACTGAGACAGTCCGTCCAGTTCTTGCCCGGTACTTTCCAAAACCAACCGAGCTACAGAAGGGGCAGCGTGAACGGTCACCCTAAAGCGGCGAGCGGCCGTTAGCCTCGGCCCCCGCGGGCTGCTCGTCCACCCGGGTCCATCCCCCGCGTCCCGGCTCATAAGAAAATGGTCTTTAGAGGGTGTGGCCTGTTCCTTTGAAAACAATGCAAGTGACGGAGTCTTTCTGTTTTTGTTTCTACGTTTCCGGTTCCCTGAAGGAGGCCGTCAAGGTTTGGAACCTTTTGTCGCCCTGTCTCCCCGCAGCCTGTCTCCCGGGAAGAGGGACCTTCTCTGGCGCTTCATCCGTCTCTCGCCTCTTTCCGCGGGCGGGGCTCGGCTTCCCACACCTGGGCCTCTCTGACCCTCCTCCATTCCCGCGCCCCTCGCTGAGCTGCCCTGGGCTCCCCGAGCCTGGCCCCCGGGCTGCCTGCGCTTGCTGACACCGGCCGCGTCTCTCCCCCCCACGCCCCCATAGCCCGCCCTTGGCCTTGGGGCCAGTTCACAGCGGGGTGTTCACAGCGAGGAGGGGGCCGCCGGGCACAGGCCTCGCTGCCTCGGGCACACGGAGCCAGGCTCTGCGGCTTCCCGACGGGCTGGGGTCCCAACGAAGGGGGGAATCCCGGACGGGCCGCGCGGCGGGTTCTGAATCGGACACGGTACAAACAGCCCGCTGTGAACTGGCCCCAGAGGGCGCCCGGGCAAATGTGTGGACGGAACCTCGCATGCGTGCTCACGGCGAGGATCTCTCAGTCACCATTAACGAGGCCAACCTGGTTTCTTTCACAGGACCACCCCAGGGCCGAGTATGAAGCTAGAGTTCTGGAGAAGTCACTTAGGAAAGAATCCAAGAACAAAGAGGTATGGTGGCCAGTGCTCGTGGTTTTCCCAAGAGTCCAACATTGTGTGTTCATCAGGAGTGTAGACCGGGGCTCTGCAAGCTCTGTGTGTCCATCCACAGTGTAGACCGGGGCTCAG